AAATGGATAGTGTTGAGGAAGGGGAATCGCAACTCCGTAACCTGGAGATGGTACACCGCATTATCGCAAGGATGGTGCTGTGTAGATAATCCTTTCTAACTACTTGACGAGCTAATAAGGCTCTTGAACCAAACCTCTTCCTCCCCCGCTTCAGGCTAAACGGGTAGGCAGCCGCTGGGATGCCTTCTCTCTATCTTTAGTGGCCCCGGATGCAGAAGGTGATTGCTAAGTAATAACTGATAACTTCAGCATCAATGCATTACTGGTCAAGAAACTGTTGGAGAAGAAAGAGTTGCAGTATGAACAACTTTGGTAAATTGAAGTGAACTACCATCTTACTTCATTGCCAATAATCGCAGATTGCATTTTGTTTTTCAAGATTACATCAAGATTACATTGTAGGATGCAAAGACGTTAAACGTAGAAGGAAGAAGTAGCAAGAATTATCAATGGTCCGCCTAGTGTAGACCACCTAGAGCCATAATTATGTTTTACATGGTGAGAGTAGGAAGCCCCACATCATCCAATTTTAGCAAAAGACGAGATATATCCTTGACCATTTCGATCGATTGTGGTGGATCTACTCAACTATTCCAGAAGATGTCCCCCTGCAAGGCGGTTACATAAATGAAAAGATGTGACAGGCATCAACGCCTTCACAATATCCCAGACCTTTGCTAGTTCATGCACATCCAGAAAACGCTCATTCCTGCACTGGTCAATAAGCTTGTAGATAGTCATGGCATCTGGTTGCTAAGTGCCAGCCAAGGAGAAGAGAAGGGTATACCTCTTTGAAAGAGTCTAAAATGCAGTCGTCACTAGCCTAATCTTGAAATCATCTCTAGCAGCATATGTGTCAGCTTGGTGAAACAATGATGCACATGGTCAATCCATGTTTGTACTTGTTACTGTGTGTCATTCATCGTGGCGGTCGAGTAATCCGATGATGCCAAAGCATATAATCCCGAAAAGCAGTTCCCCATGTGCCCAGTGACGTTGACACGTTGCTTGTTATTGTAACACTGTGATTAGAAGACATTCCTATGCAAGTAATTGAAGTTTTGCCAGTAATTGAGTTCATCCTTGGCGTTACTGGAGGAGCACTGACTTGGTTCAAACATTACCTGTCAAGTCGCCAACAGCAAGTGCGCACTGGTACCGGACTCGGCAGGGTTGTTACATGCACCTGCGGTGTTCCGCAGGGTTCGGTCCTGAGGCCGCTGCTCTTCAACATATACACTAGAGACGTACCGACTGTTACCTGCCCGACTATGTCAATCCAGTTTGCAGACGATATAGCCTTGACTTCCACCCGCCGCAGCGCTGACCTCGTTTCTTCTGAGCTCACAACAGCCGTCTCTAACCTAGCTCGCTGGCTAGCCTCCCGTGGTCTCATCCTCAACGCCACCAAGAGTCAGCTCCTTGTCTTTGCAGGATCCAATGGCCAGAGTCCCAACTTTGTGGTAAAGTGCGATGGCATACCCGTGCCAAGCGTCACCAGTGCCCGCTACCTTGGCATCACCTTGGATGTACGCATGTCATGGCAGCCCCAGGTCGATGCGAGCATCACAAAAGCCAATAAGAAAATTGGAACTCTGTGGCGGACACGAAAGTCGCTAACACTTGCTAGCCGTGTGCTGTTCTTCAAGGCAGCTATCATGCCGGATCTACTGTATGGGTCCGTTGCGTTTAGCCCAGGTCTCACTCAGGCCCAGACCGACCGGCTCCAAGTAGCACAAAACCGTGGGGCAAGAGCAGTTTATGGCCGGCCGGGGTTCTCTCGTGCCAGTGATCTCCTGGAACGCATGCAGGTGTTCAGGATTGGAGAAATACATCGGCAGAAGGTCCTGGTCTTTGTCTGGAGGTGCATACACGCCAGTGCGAGTCCATCCCTCCAGGAGCTCTTCGTACGCTGCGCGGATCGTAGGACGCGCCTGGATCTCGCCCTGGGGCTCCGTCTACCAGCTACACGAACCCGCGCCGGACGATCTCGCCCTACCTCCCGAGGTAGTGCCCTTTGGAACGTCCTACCGGATGCAGTCAGAGTACTGTCGTCTCTCAGCAGCTTCAAAGCTGCCGTCGTACCGTATACCCTCCGATCCTCCTGATGTTATGATTAGAAACTTGCCCTGAGACAGCTTCCTGTCTGTTATTGATTTTCACTGTTTACCATTATTATTTGCCATGGCGACCCCCGTAAGTCCGTAACTGGCAGGGCAGGGTTGGGCCTTTCATCCTCCCGATGTTAGTAGCAAGTACCGGTACTCTCGTTAGCAGTAACTGTTAGTACTTTGTTTGCTTGTTTTTTATTTTTTTTTATTTTCTCTATTTTATTCTCTTTACCAGGCGTGGGCCATCCCCTGGACAAACAAAATGGGTGCCTTATTATTATTTTTCTGTTTCTGTTTTAATGACAGTCCACTGCACGCCTGAAAAAAGTACTTAGTTTATTAGGCGGCTTACAGAACTATCGACTTATCGTTCGCTGGCTTACTTGTAGTTTGATAACGCTTCGCTCTTCATTGAGATATCTACCATTCTCTCTTTGTTCTCCTTATTTTCTCCCCAACCCTCCTTCCCTGTAACATAATAACATATTCGCTGCCTTGTCATTGAGCATTTGTGCTCGTTTGGATTTGCGAATTCAAATAAAGTATACATACATACATACATACATCCTTCGCAATTGCCGTTACGCGTACATCGTATTTTAGTTGCGTATAGCCAACAATAAAGTCTGGGTGAATCCTAAAGTGTTGTGTGCATCATAAATGCCGCTAGTGATAGCCAGCACTGAAAACAACAACTATAATAACCTATATCATAGGTCTTAGACCTGGAAAAGTATGCAGGTGTCAAATGACACCGTTTGGCCGTTCTAGGAGTACTGAAAGTGGTGGCCGCCCTAGGGTTAAAAGGTTGAGAAACGTGACGGAAGTTCTACAAAAGTTGTCTACTTTGCCCTTCACTCAGAACTGGCAACATGTACAATGATGAGCTTTGCACAAGTACAATGACGAGCTTTGCACCAGTATAATGATGGGCTGCAGTGCATGAAGAGTAGCTGAACAACACCATGCATGCATTATATTTATAGAGTGCTGTAGCGCTGGTAGTCATTCCTAGCATTCCCAGTCTTAGCTGCAGGGGTGATTTTGCAGTTTTTGTATGCATTTCAAAGTGCGGAACACCCCAGAAAAATCCAGTACTCTATCTGCGGGCAGAATTGTTTTGCCCCTAGGCTTGTTTTACATGAGAATTTTCAACCCGGGTTGAAAGTCTGTACAAGGGAAAAATAAGTGGGTGATCAAATCAAGACAGTTGACTCGTGTCAAATACTGATATGCCGCGAAAAGTCAACTTCTAAAGTCCTATAGTCACGTGAAAGCATTCGCTCAAATGTTCCTGTGCAGTGCTGTTCAAACTTGGCGCAAGGTACGCACAGAAGTACGGTGGTAAGATTTCTCGATTTCAACCGTCCCCCGAGGGGAGGGTTGATATCCACCCTGTTTGAAATTTCAACCCGAATCAAGCGCAATGCAGCATGTTAACGCTCCAGTCAATCTGTGTTCATGGTGGGTAGAAACTTGACTCTTGGCTGAAACGCCTCATGTAAACATAGTCTAAACCGTATATCTATACGGGTGATATGTTCCGTCTGCTAGGTTCGGCGTTACATCCGGAAAATTCGCAACCTTCATACCGGTGTCGATGGTTAGCCGTAGTCCGAGGTTGTTGAATATCTTGCAAACTCTGTTCCTCGTTCGGTCTGCTTCGCTGCCTGTCACGTCTCGTAGCCCTGCTAGACCGTCATCACGCTACAGTCCGACGTCTCTGCTGTTGATTTCGTGTGCAATCTTAGACAGTGCATACGCCCCAACTAGCTCGCATACTTCGGCACCGTCGAAACATCCCATTGTCATGTTGAATAGTCCTCTCCGTTCTTCTTCATCCAAGTATTGTCTCCACTGAATAATAGCGACTTTCGTGAATGCAGTATGATGTCTTTGTCTTGTTTGCTAATACCGGTGAACTGTTCAGCAAACTCGATAGCGCGCAGAAGAAGATCTTCCGAAATCGACGGATAATATTCCACAATATCGAAACAGACAAATGCACACTCCGGCTTCCTCTCGATGGCTTGGAGCCAGTCAATCGATGTGGCTGTATTCTTCCAGGAGTTGATTGATAACGCTCCCCTTACATCTCGGCCAATTCCCGATAGTATCGTTTTTGGTTTATAAAGTTAGTATTTTTAGGCCTGCAAAAAAGTAAAATATAGCTCAAACACACACACACACACACACACACACACACACACACACACACATACGGTCTCTGAACTGCAATAAAGAATCTAAAAAATATTTCGGCCCTGGGCATCATCAAGATTGACTGTGAAAAGCAAGAAAGTTTACTGATAAAATTTGTCTCATTGCGTGTATACCGTATTTTCCTCAGTACATGTATAAGCCGCACTTGCAACGCTCAAAGTACACTCAAAAATGTCGGTTGCAGGTTATACTCCGATGATCAGTAATAAATTACTAGGGTTGATGTTTGTACTTTGTGGAAAGCAATTGGGGTTGCTGCTTATACTCCAGTGTGACCTATACTCCAGTGTGACCTATACTCTGGAATATACGGTATGTGTGTGAGTGTGCATGGCGAATGTTTTTATGTGTGTATGTGTGTGTGTACGTGTGCGGGGGGGGGGGGGGGGGGTTGGCGCGCATTCGCGTTCTCGTGTGCCACACCCGATTCTGCTCGTGACTTGAACACAGTTGGTCCCTTCTGGACCTTCTATCATCTCTGGATGGGCACATTATAATAATAATAATTATATTCTATTGTAATGTATGTGTACTTCTGAAGTATGACTGTGTATGTATGTGGTGGGTGTTTGTGTGGGCTTGTGTGTATGTGTGTGTGTGTGTGTGTATGTGTGTGTGTTGTGTGTATGCCGCTATGTGTGTGTTTCCATTGTGATACCCTGTTAGGTGTTCACTTCTGACACATTCTCTCACGTGGCTACCTTCGGTTCAAGCAGTTGTCTTACTCATCCACGCGGCATTGCAGTATCATCCAGTGGTACTGTGTATGTTAGTAACACTAGCAAACACCGTATCACAATGTTCTAACTTTTGTCCTGGAGCATCTTGTTTCTTGTTCTACACTAATGTTTCTCACTGCTGTGAAACATGAACAGGACCAGTATTAGCAGTTTTGTTTGCTCAGGCTTTACTATAGTATTTCAGTTTTTTGTGTGACACATCGAGTATGCATAACCTTGCCAGTAGCTAACATGTATTGGGCAGGCCAACAGTAGATCCAGCCAAGTCCTGAACGACTGGAGCAGTTCCAACATGTCTGATTAAGCTGATCAACATACATGTATGAACATGGCCAAATACTGTTTATCATACTTGCATGATTGAATGTGGGCTTGCATGTGTGTGTATGTGTGTGTGTGTGCATTTGTGTGTGTGTGTGTGTGTGTGTGTGTGTGTGTGTGCGTGTGCGTGTGTGTATGTGTGTGGGGTATGAATGTGTTTGTGTATGCATGTGTATGCATGCATTTTCTTATGAACTCCTGCACTGAGTTGTATGTCTACATGGTACTTGGATCACTCTCATTGTTACAATCCTATTCTCGATGTGCAGAGGATGATTCTATTGATTGTGTTGGCTGGGTGCTCTTTTTCCTTTCTCTGAAAATCTATTGTATTTCTGCAAAATGTCTCGCTGCTAAGTGTCGCAATACATCATGGAGTGTTTTATGTCACGTTTTGGATGCAATGAAGAATGTGCTCATTGTCCAAGGTACTGTTTTCTTTCTATCATGGTTTGTGGTGTTTTCTGTTAGTATCTTTATTTTAGAAATGTTTCAAACCTTTATAACTGCTGCATACTCTTGTTTGATCTGAAGAGATGCAGTATTGATAGTTGTCTGATGATTCCTATGGAGTATGGCCATGAAACTCTTTGTTATAACGATAATGTGTGGTGCTCTGTGTTACATGACCAGTCTTAGTTATAACCAACAATGCTACAGCCGTGTGAAGGGCACTTAGAGTAATAGCAGGGAGCAGTAAGAACAGAATAGAGCAATGACAAAAGACACCAGTTGCCGGAACAGAAGCGTAAAGAACAGACTGAGCAACGAAAGCCTGAAATGCCAGCAAGGAGCCAAAACCCAATCCACGCATGACGTCACATGCACATGGGTGGGGCACACATAGAACACACGAGTACTTGAATGCGGTACACGTGACTCTGTGTGATTTTTGTGTGAGGGAGATAGTATTGTGTGGTTGTTAGATGGTGATATGGTGAAGCAGCGAGGCAGTGAGATGGTGATATGGTGAAACAGCGAGGCAGTGAGATGGTGATATGGTGAAACAGTGAGGCAGTGAGATGGTGATATGGTGAAACAGCGAGGCAGTGAGATGGTGATATGGTGAAACAGCGAGGCAGTGAGATGGTGATATGGTGAAACAGTGAGGCAGTGAGGTGGTGATATGGTGAAACAGCGAGGCAGTGAGATGGTGATATGGTGAAACAGCGAGGCAGTGTGATGGTGATATGGTGAAACAGCGAGGCAGTGAGATGGTGATATGGTGAAACAGCGAGGCAGTGAGATGGTGATATGGTGAAACAGTGAGGCAGTGAGATGGTGATATGGTGAAACAGCGAGGCAGTGAGATGGTGATATGGTGAAACAGCGAGGCAGTGAGATGGTGATATGGTGAAACAGCGAGGCAGTGAGATGGTGATATGGTGAAACACTGAGGCAGTGAGATGGTGATATGGTGAAACACTGAGGCAGTGAGATGGTGATATGGTGAAACACTGAGGCAGTGAGATGGTGATATGGTGAAACAGCGAGGCAGTGAGATGGTGATATGGTGAAACAGCGAGGCAGTGAGATGGTGATATGGTGAAACAGCGAGGCAGTGAGATGGTGATATGGTGAAACAGCGAGGCAGTGAGATGGTGATATGGTGAAACAGTGAGGTAGTGAGATGGTGATATGGTGATGCAGCGAGGCAGTGAGATGGTGATATGGTGAAACAGCGAGGCAGTGAGATGGTGATATGGTGAAACAGCGAGGCAGTGAGATGGTGATATGGTGAAACAGCGAGGCAGTGAGATGGTGATATGGTGAAACAGCGAGGCAGTGAGATGGTGATATGGTGAAACAGCGAGGCAGTGAGATGGTGATATGGTGAAACAGCGAGGCAGTGAGATGGTGATATGGTGAAACAGTGAGGTAGTGAGATGGTGATATGGTGAAACAGCGAGGCAGTGAGATGGTGATATGGTGAAACAGCGAGGCAGTGAGATGGTGATATGGTGAAACAGCGAGGCAGTGAGATGGTGATTTGGTGAAACAGCGAGGCAGTGAGATGGTGATATGGTGAAACAGCGAGGCAGTGAGATGGTGATATGGTGAAACAGCGAGGCAGTGAGATGGTGATATGGTGAAACAGCGAGGCAGTGAGATGGTGATATGGTGAAACAGTGAGGTAGTGAGATGGTGATATGGTGAAACAGCGAGGCAGTGAGATGGTGATGATGGTGAAACAGTGCGGCGGTGAGATGGTGAGATGGTGAAACAGCGAGGCAGTGAGATGGTGATATGGTGAAAAAGAGAGGCAGTGAGATGGTGATATGGTGAAAAAGAGAGGCAGTGCGATGGTGATATGGTGAAGCAGTGACATAGCGAGGTGGTGTATTCAAACAAACGAGTTGAGGCTTTCTGTATAAATTTCATACCGACTTTTGCGGTAGTTTTCATTCCCAATTTTCTAACATGAATTGCAAACCTGCAAGAAAGCAGCACAGCTTGCTAAACACACGGTGTTTGGGTGAAGTTCAGTTGAGTTCCAGGATCACTGTACACATGATGTAGTGCTCTTTGAGACTTAACACTACTAGGGTCTAGGCATAGACACTAGATGTAATTACACACAGTGACAGGTCTCAGTGTCACTACATTTCTACTCTCACAATCACTTACTGAGTATTGTGAGCACCAGGCAGCAGCGTTAGTCAGTATCACTCACTGGCGACAGACTTGTCACTTGATTGACTAGGACTTAATCTGTTGTACATTAGATCTCTATCTCTCTGTCTCAAATCTGTAACAGTCCAGCTAACTTTAGTAGTCATTCTTGGAATAAGCAATGATCCTTGCCATAATGCATTCTTATATACATGAACAAGCAATGATGGACATAACACCTAACAGCAGCAGCGTGATAATAGCAGGTGATAAGTGTATCCTATTCCTAGTGTTAGTAGTAACAGTGAATCTGTTACACCATTCCCCCCTCTCAACTGTCAGAACAGTACCAATTCGAAGGAACAGTTATGGTAACTAATGATCATGCATGGATATGTGGAATGCATGGTAGCCGAAAACAACACTGATGAACTCAAGATCCAGTGCATGTCCTCTGCAAATAACGCCTGGCTGGCAGGGAAGCACTATCCTAATCATGCAGAATGCTACATTTCTATTGCAACACGTAGAAACTAGCAATACAACTGTGGCTGCCAATTAAATAGCAATTTTATGAAAAACGGTCCAGGTAGGTTTTCAGCGGAATAATAGCGTTTCCTGCTTCATCCATCAAGTATTCCTCCGGCTCCCAGGTGGCATCTCGGTAGCCCTTCCATTTCACTAGGTACTGCGTGCGCCGTCCTCTCTTCTTGTGCGACAACACCTTTTCGACAATGTACCGCGTATGGCCATCCGCATCGGTTAGGGGTGGAGGTGCCGGCTGAGTACGGCCCGGTATCTCATTGCCATGGTACAGCTTGAGGGCAGCAATATTGAACACTGGATGGGCCCGAATGATTCTTGGAAGAGCTAATCTGTACGCATTCGGGGCCACTTTCTTCTGCACCTTGAACGGCCCATACCACTTGAGCCTTAATTTGTGTGAAGGCCTGTCTCGTTCCTCGGGCGTCAGCAGGAAGTCCCTGAAGACCAACACCTCATCCCCCTCCTTCAGGGCGTCCTCCACCCGTCCTCGATCCGCATACAATGATTGCCGGGCCTGCGCCGCCACGATGGCATCCTGTGCCTCACGTAGTGCCTCTACGCGGCCATCCAGCCATGACAGCGGACCATTCGTGTCCATGCCAGCTCCAGCTTTCTGCTTCGTCAATAAGCTCGAGGGAGTAACTGGATGGCATCCATGGTTGAGGAAAAATGGCGTGTTACCTGTTGACGCTTGATCGGCATTGTTGCACTGGAAGGCGAGGCCCAGCTGTATTACCAATCGCTCCCAGCGGCCACTAGGAACGGAGGCCGCCAACAGCTAGTCCAGGCGCTGCAAGCTCGGTTTGATCCAGCGCAGCGCGTTGACCTCCATCGCGCAACGTTTCAAGCTCGTCGCCAGGCAAAAGACGAACAACTGGGTACTTTTGTGAGGCGGTTCGCTCCCTGGCCCGGCAAGCTTACCCCCAGATGGCCGCGGGGGACCTCGACAGCCTAACAAAAGACCAGTTTATCTCCGGGCTTGACTCACGGGGCATGCGGGTCCGCGTTCGGGAGCTAAACCCGCAAACGACAGACGGGGCCCTCCAGGCCGCGCTCCATCACCAGGCAATCCTAGCTGCCGAACTGCCCGCCGCGGAACCTGTGCCGATCCCTGCCTTTGCTGTTTCCCAGCCACTCGACATGGTGACAGACCAACTGAAAGTTGTGTTAGACCGTCTGGCTACGTTGGAGGCCAGTCTGCCAGGACCAATTCGTCGGTCCCGACCTGACCAACTACCACAGCCCCCGCAGACGCAAGGCCGCACACCTGTCACTTGCTGGTCATGTGGCCGACAGGGTCACATCAGCCGAGAATGCCGTGTCCGTCGTCCTGCGCAGGCGGGAAACTACCGGCGGCAGTACTAAGTACCTCGGACGCTAGCCCTGCCGCATCCTGCTCTTCCGGGACTGACGTAAGCACTGTGTTGATATGCCTTGCTGTCAGTAGAAGGTAACAGGAGGGTTTGAGAACAAAGTTGACCCGGAAGTGACCTTGTCATGTTTTTGACAGGCTGTGGTTTGACCCTGTCAATTTGTGGTTTGACCTTGATTACTTTACCGTGACATCCGTCAAATAGTGATACCAGATTACGTGTAACACCCGTGTACTGCGATCCACCTGTGTTACCATAACTTTTGAAGAAAGTGTGACTTTAACTTTGAAAAGTGTGACGGTAACTTTGAAAAGTGTTTGTTGTGCTGTTACAATAATTTTTTGAAACTGTATCAATGAAATGTCTTTTATTTTTATTACAAACTCTGTTTTATCATTATTTGTTAAACTGTGTGCGTGCAACAAACTCTGTTTTCCCTCTGGAGTGTCACGGCGAGCACCACCACCAAACCTGATACTCCACGAGCAAAGCAATGCATCACCGTTGTAAACATGCTCGACTCTGCATGAAGCAGCAGCAGGTTAGTGTAACAAACTCTGCTTTCCCTCTGGAGTATCACGGTGAGCACCACCACCACCACCACCACCACCACCAAACCTGATACTCCACGAGCAAAGCAATCCATCACCGTTGTAATCCTGCTCGACTCTGCATGAAGCAACAGGTTAGCCGGCAATGACAAATTGAAGAGAGGTACCACTGCGAAGAAGACGATCACTTGCGCGCTACTCGAAGAGAGGTACATGTACTCAGGATGTAGCCCTGTGAAGAAGACGATCACCTGCGATACATCTGAAATGAATGAATGATGCGATGCATCAGCTAGCCGTCTAGCGTCGTGTTTGAGTAAAGGTGAAGTGATGTGCGCTCAAGTGCATGGATCTACGCTAACTATTCACGGTCTGCGAGTACTTGTCATGCACAAACTTGTCGGACAGGTAGAACAATGCCGAAGACAAGGTGTCAAGTCTGTCCGTGTAGTTACTTTAAGTGCTTGACTGTGTTGTGCATGTACATGTAAGTGCTTAGAGGTTTTCGGTGGAAGCATACAGAATTGAAAGAGCGTTTACACTAGTTTGAGAACAAATGTGCACGGTGGTAAATGTCTCAAGCTGTTTGTGGACAATTGCCTCACCTCGTGATGGAGAAAATGCAAGCACATGCATACTGAGACCACGAGCGCTCACCTCGTGATGAAGAAAATGCCTCCGCCTGCACCGCCTCCGAACGAGGAAAAGTGTTGGCACAACCATCAGGTTGTGAGTGAAGGACAGTACGTGTGTACGACTTGTGGACTGGTGCTGGGTAACGTCTTAATGGCCGAAGTGAACTTCTTCGATCGTTGTGTACTCCCGAGATCGTACGCCGCTCGTGAACGTCTGAGTGCTGTGGACAAGCATCTGATTAGATTCATGGAGCGCACGGGAGTGCAGGTGCAGCTTCACGGTGTTCAAGAGCGGCTGCAGTTCATGAAGAAGGACAGCGGCTATAAAAGTCTGAACTATGCCATCGCTCTGAGCTGCATCTGTCATGAGGATAAAGCAGCCTGTTATGCACTGAGATCTTATCTATCGAAAAGCAACGTGTCATGGGCACGGTCCAGTCGACTCGTCAGCTGCATGCCTAGACAGTTTTCTGATATTTGGCTGCGGCATCTCTTGATCAATGCCAAGCCCTTGACACGCCGTCAGACCTCCAGATTGAATGAAAACCTTGACAAGTTCAGTAGGGAGCAGAACGACGCAATGAGACTCCTGATCGAGTCTTACGGCTGTGGCAGTGATAGGCATGTTGACTCGCTACCGGACGATCTGCGATGTGCTCTTTATAGATTTTCCTACGCCGCGATCAAGCCCCGAGCGGTCGCGAAAAGGAGGAAGAAGACTGGTGCTGTTCCATACACGCTTTTTTGATCACATCGAGATATTATAAGATCACGCTGATCGTTTGACCGGTACTCTTTTGTTCTTTTGCAGTTTAGTGAACAACCTTTACTTTCTGTCCGCCTCACCATGAACGCTATGGATATCGGCATGTGGATGGTGCTGAGCAAGCACGAGGACAGTAGTTGTGTGCTCCGATCGCTGCTACATTGTGTGGCTCTGAAAGGCCTGTGTCCTGTCGAAGACCTCCAGACGGTGGCGAAAGATGAGCGTCTGGAGGTGCTCTGGAAACTGGCCCGTAACCTTGCCAGGCATCGCAGGGTCTACTTGATTACCGCGACGCAAGTGCTGCTTTCTGAGCAAGTGTTGGCGGATGGGGGCGCACTGCTGCCGCACTACCTGAAGCGGATATTCGCAATCATGAGCGAACGTTGGATTGACGATGCAAGGACATTCCCCTCGCTCATCTGATCGTGATATGTGAGCAGGCCGTAATCACGATGCAACCTGCCATTGCCAGCAAGATCATCGCGTGCTACGAGCACGAGCTACACCGAGTACCCGTGAGACAGTGCCGGCAACACAGCGGATCAGGGAACATTTTACTTTGTGCTATGTAATTTGTATTTTTGTATCACTGATTTATTTGCATTGTAATTGATGATCAATATCGTCATGAGCATCATCATCATCATCATCAGAAACATAATCAATGTTCTTGATAAATGAAACGATATTAATTGTAAATGCGAAAGTTTTTGTATACTCCTGTGATGGAATCATCCATTATGAGCACGGCTTGGTGATGATAAATGGGGCGAGTCCTGAACGCAAGCGTGCACTTGTTCTTGCGAGGTATCTCCTTGTGTGAGATCCAGTAGCGCTGTTCGTTCGCTCCAAGCTCTTCTGCGTTTGCGGGGTATCCCACCAGCATGTACAGTCCAACGGGTATGATAGTAGCTCCATCCAGTGATTTTTCAAAGGGAAACTCCACAAGTACCAGCGATGTGTTGGCATGATTTTCCTGTAGGGTATCCTCCACGATACGCACCGTAGGAGCTGCACTCCTCTCACCAGGCGGTCCACGTTGTCCAGCTTCTCCAACAGGCCCTTGCAGACCTTGCTCTCCTCGTACTCCTTGCAGACCTTGTGGACCCGGGGACCCTTTCAGTGACGCAGTAACAACCCACTCGGTATCGTTTAGCTTTTCGTAGACGAGTCCACTGTCAGAGTTGTGGAAAAAGTCACCCACCCTGCCATCATGCGTGTTCATTACTCATCACCTTCTTTCGTTGCCCTCTAGCCTGAACTGGCATGTTCTTGAGGCAGCTATCCTTTAGCCTCGTCTTCGATCGTGATGTATAAAAGCATCCTGTCATAGCAAACCGCTCATCAGTTATTGCCGAAGAAAATGAAGCGGAGACTTGAGAACGTAGAGGAAGGGGGGCCCTCTCCGAGAGCACCCAGAGAGTCGCGAATGAATCTCCAGCGCAGCGCACCGCGTGGATACTAGAAAGAGTATCGCGCCGAGCTGAATGAAGACGACATGGATGTGTTGAGCGTGCTCAACGACCTGATTCCGGATATCACGGAAACAATGGTGCACGAGCTGCAGACGCAACAGTACAAAGCCGTGCTGGTGGCCTGCGTACAGATGGAGAAGGTCGACGCGACCGGTTGATCCACCGTCACCTCTCCATTTTTCCGGAGTAAAGCGCAGACTGTGCATCAAGCCTTGGAAGTGGAGGACGTACTGAAGTCGTCCATCGACCACATTATTCAGAAGCTGGAAGCCTGGATTCGTGAAGGATCCGGTTGGGTCGTAATCCAAGTGAAGAGCGTCCACTTGGACATTGCTCGCTACCGACCGATGCGCATCTCATCCTATCTGCCCCTACCAAAAACTATAGCCGCATCGAGAGCAGTCGTCAAAGTGAGGAACCGTGACGATCAATGTCCGAAGTGGGCTGGTCTATGAGCACTACACCCGGCAGCCGATCACGTTGATCGAGTGACCAACTATATGCCGTATGCTAACAATCTCGATGTCACGGACGTAGATTTTCCGGCTTCTCTCGTCGACGTTTACAAGGTAAGGTTCACTTGATCGAGTCCTTGTCACATGTCGTTGTTTTGTGAAGTGGCTGTCTTGAAATCATGACAACTTGCTCGCATCTGACGTCTCAAGCAACGACGTTTGCTGTTGTTGTTGTTGTTGTTGTTGTTGTTGTTGTTGTTGTTGTTGTTGTTGTTGTTGTTGTTGTTGTTGTTGTTGTTGTTGTTGTTGTTGTTGTTGTTGTTGTTGTTGTTGTTGTTGTTGTTGTTGTTCTTGTTCTTGTTGTTGTTGTTGTTGTTGTTGTTGTTGTTGTTGTTGTTGTTGTTGTTGTTGTTGTTGTTGTTGTTGTTGTTGTTGTTCTTGTTGTTGTTGTTGTTACCCTGCAGGTGGAAAAAGCCAATGACTTGTCCATCAACGTCTTTGGATATGAGGATGATCTTTACCCACTCAAATTGACAGGCGCAGACGATGCCATCAACCTGCTGGTCATCCACGACGATGGTGTCAACCACTTTGCGTGGATTAAGAACTTCGGTGCGCTGTGTGCCCATCAGCGGAAGAAGAAGGCAAGAGTGCATTTCTGCATGCGTTGCCTCCCTTCACACAACAGTGTCGAGACGCTCGAACGACACCAACGGTACTGCAAAGATGTAAAGTTTGCTGCCGTTGAAATGCCCGAGCCGGGCGAAAAATTGATGTTCAAGGACATCGTCAAGGTGATGAAAATGCCCTACGTCATCTACGCTGGCACCGAATGCCTGGTGAAGCCATGTTCGGCGCAGCATGGTCACGAGCCGTTCGAGATGCTGAGCATGTTCCGTGTGGCGTGTCATACGTCACAGTGAGAACTGATGGAAGGCTGATGAACCGCTTCATGTACAGAGGTAGTATCACACCTCCATCGAATGACTAGTCTGACTTAGATCAATCAACAGCATGTTGTATGTTCATAAGCCTGATGATGATGATGATGATGATGATGATGATGAGTGCTGTCTTTGCAATTACCTGTATACCTGCATTATACAACTATTGTGTGTGTGTGTGTGTACTTGTTCTTGTTTGTTGCTTTCAGGGCCGGATGCGATAAGCACGTTGTTCGAGGCACTTGCAGAGGAGGAGGAGGAGGAGCGCATCAAAGACGATCTGGTGGAGCGTGACATGATCATCACCGAACAACAGCAGGGAGAGTTTCGCAACGCCTCGGAGTGCTGGGCGTGTCATAGGCCACTCGGCGATGATAGGGTACGTGATCATGATCATATCATGGGTCTGTATCGTGGAGCAGCGCATGCATCCTGTAACCTTAAGATGAGGATTGTGCGGGACACTCAGATCATCCCGGTCATCTTCCACAATCTCAAGGGTTACGACGCTCACCTGCTCATATCTAGCATTGGACTCACCGCTATCGAAACCGAGCGCTATGTTGATAGAACCGGACGGACGCGAGCGTTCAAGAAGGGAAAGATTGGTGTGATACCGAATAACATGGAGCGCTACGTGTCCTTCACATGGGGACACTTTCGCTTCATCGACAGCCTGGCCTTCCTGAATACGTCTTTGGAGAAGCTGGTGAGCAACACGCCACGTGATTCCTTTGCACACCTCTCATCCCTGGTGGCACGGCATGCAACTCGTATGAACAGCAGCAGCAGCAATGAGGAGCTGTTCGACCTTTTGCGTCGCAAGGGTGTGTATCCGTATGAGTATATGGACGACTTCACCTGTACCCCCGAGTCACCACGATCGTCTCAACGACTATCCCCCGGCTCCAGAGTGCGTGAGCATCGCGGAGGATTTGCTCTCACCCTACCAGCAAGATTTCCTCGAACAGACCCCGGTCAGCGGTTTAGGAGTGGCGAAACTCGTACCGCATCTGATGCCAAAGCATAGATACGTCCTACACTACCGCAACTTGCAGCTCTACCGCCAGCTAGGACTAACCATTGGTACAGTCCACCGAGTCTTGAGCTTCACTCAACAGCCCTGGATGAAACCCTACATTACCCTTAACACGGAGAGACGCAGAACCGCCCACAACGACTTTGAAAAGGACTTTTATAAACTAATGAACAACGCGGTGTTTGGGAAAACAATGGAGAACGTCAGAAGGCGCCACAACATCAAACTGTATCGAGACGAGGAGGAGGAGGAGGAAGACAGCATCGTCAATGCCATTGCCAAGCTGACGTGCGTTCGTCATGTGCTGTTCGAGAACGAACTGGCAGGTGTCGAGAACAAGAAGACCAAGGTCACGCTGTGCAAACCAGTCTACGTGGGCATGTGCGTCCTGGAACCTAGCAAGGAGCTCATGTACCGGTTCTACCACCTGGAGCTCAAAGCCCGTTACGGAGATCGAGTGCATCTTCTGTACACAGACACGGACTCGCTTGTGCTGCAGTTCAACACCGAAGATCTCTACGCCGACATGGATGCTACGCTAGATCTGTGTGACACCAGCAATTTCCCCACGGATCACCGTCTGCGCAGTGACACCAACAAAAAGTCGTCGGCAAATTTAAGGACGAACTCGGCGGAAAGCTCATGACCGAGTTTGTAGCACTGCGCAGTAAGATGTATTGCTACGACGGAGAGGAGAGTGGACGGCGAGCAAAGGGTGTGAAGAAGACTGTAACTCGCAAGTTTACGATCCAGGACTATCGACAGTGTTTGCAGACGAAGAAGGCGACGCAGCATCCCATGACCAACTTGAGGAGCCATCGTCATACCATCTTCACCGAGACCACCACCAAGCTATCGCTGTCACCGTTCGATAGCAAGCGATACATACTAGCGGATGGCATATCAACGTTGGCCTACGGTCCTGGACACTTCAGGATTTAGAAAATTTTGAGAAACGTGTCATTATCAGGCATTTTTCCTCTCTGTACATACATCACCTTTTTATTTTCCGAGTACGCTACAAGTCACTTGCATGTTTGCATACATGCGGCTCTCCTCTGCTGCCTCCACTGCCAACCACTCCAGCCCACTGTAAACACTGTCCTACTGCTGCTGCTGCTTGCAATGCTATACGCCTCTCATCCACCTCTGTACAGGATGACTCTACGTCATGACTGTAGATGTTTTATTCATTTTTTTGTTTTGTTTTTTTTTGTTTGTTTTTGTTTTGAATAATAAATGATGAGTTCAATCCACTCCATCCAGCTCGTCCCAGAGCAGTCAAGAGTTACCATGGTTACAGGACTCTCCATGTCTCTCAAGGGGGGGGGGGGCATGCACACAGGATACAGTTCACTGTATCCTACAATCTGTCTACCAACGACCAACTCGGCAACTGATCATGACGATGAGCGATGACGTCAACGGCGGAGGTGGCGGCGACGGCAGCGCAAGCAAAAGTAGCTGGACGGAGCGGTTGGCGCGTGACATGCACAAGCCACGGAGGGTGCGCTTTCCCCGAAGGCGTGTGATCGTACACGGACTTGACGATAGTTTGAGTGCAGACCTGGTGGACATGCAAGCGTTTGCCAAATACAACAAGGGGTACTTTACTTGCTCACCGTGATCGATCTGTTCAGCAGGTAGACCCCGGTGTACGCCTGGGTGGTGGCGCTCAAGAACAAAACAGGTATCGCCGTGCGCGATGCGTTTCGCAACTTCGTTCAAAGCAGCGAGAGGTCACCACGTAAACTCTGGGTTGAGGAGGGAAAGGAGTTCCACAACGCAACTCTAAAACGGTGGTTGAGATGTACAGCACTCACAACGAGGGAAAGGCCGTGGTCGTGGAGCGCTTCAACAGGACGCTCAAATCGCGCATGTGGCAATACTTTACGGCCAACTCGACCAACATCAACGTGGATGTGCTGCCCCGACTCGTTGACGATTAGTGATTACAATGCCAGAAGGCATCGCAGCATCGGCATGACTCCCGCGGAAGCCTCGCGCGAGCGCAACGCAGCGTTTGTACAGGATTTTCCTGCCTTGAGACCGGATGCTCATCCCCCGCGCTTTACCGAAGGTGATCAGGTTAGAATTGCAGTGATCCAACGTCATTTCAAAAAGGGCTACACTCCGAACTGGACGGAAGAGGTGTTTGTCGTGGACGGAGTCCTGCCCACCCGCCCCGTCACCTATCGCATTCGCGATCTCATGGATGAACGCGTTCTGGGTTCTTTCTACGAGCAGCATTTGCAGAAAACGGAGCAGGTAAAATTGCGCGTTGAGCAAGTACTGCACAAACAACGTGGACAATCACTTGTCAAGTGGGAAGACTATCCGGACAAGTTCAACTCGTGGATATCGAACAAACAGTTGGAAAATATCTGAAACGATCGAGCCGTTACCGTCTATCAGTGGACGGTGTGCGCGCGCGCGGGTGCGTGCATGCGTTCACTGTTTACGATAGTGGATGTGTACGTTGAACAAGTTGTCAAGTAACATGATGGTGTTCAGCTATTGAATAACAGTTCCTACAAGCCCATCTCTCTCTCTCTCTAACATGCTCGACCGTGTCACACGTGCCTGTGTGTGTGTGTGTGTGTGTGTGTGTGTTGCATCCCGTCTCTAACATGCCCAGCCGCACGTGTTCATCGTAAACTGTCGTACATTTTCGAATCTCGATCGCCTGCTCCATCACGTTGTGCAATGCTGGCGGAAGCTAAGAAAAAGTGGTGAAAAAGTGCTTCGTTTCCCCAAAATGCAAATAAGAAAACTCAGACCAAGAAAGCTCTAGTTGTGAGAAGGAGAGAGAAAGAGAAAGAGAGAGATTTATTATGGAGGAAGCCGCCAGCGTACCCTTTCAACAGTCACCGCAGGCATCCCCTGCATCATATCCGTCATCCCTGTCACCGCCTGGCTCTCGGCTGTCAGCAGCACCTACGTCACCATCCACACCGAATGCCGAACGCCGATCAGTAGGATATGTGCACGCAAACCCCCGACTTGTAACACCGGCATCGTCGTCATCATCACCATGCTCACCATCACCACCACCACCCCTACCGCCAAGGCGTGCCCGACCACCACCACCACCACCACCACGACGCTCTCCCGACGCACCAACTGCACACGCTTTTACACCACCTATCACCCCATCGCCACCCCTCCTGCCATGTCCGCCACCGCCATCACTGGCAGCAGCAGCAGCAAGCCCGGAATCATCCGTTCAGGTACCTTGCATACCTGAACTCAGTTGTAACGTTACAAATTGCAGGAGGCGGTGTGATATTGGACACAGACGCAGACGATGCACCACTGGATGTATCTTGATCACCTTGGCCGTCATCAAGTTGGTGATCCTCATTGCCATATGCATTAAGGTGATGCTGATGTAACTCTGTGTGGGTGCGTGTGTGTGGTGCTAGTGTGTGTGGTGCTAGTGATAGTGTGCTTTGCCCGTATAAGTGGCTTGGAACAATAACAATACTCTGTGTGTGTGTGTGTGTGTGTGTGCTTATCTTTAGCTCTCACTAGAGAGATTGTAGGATACAGTGAACTGTATTCTTCATACTGTGTGCATGCCCCTCCCCCCTTGAGAGACATGGAGAGTCCTGTAACCATGGTAACTCTTGACTGCTCTGGGACGAGCTGGATGGAGTGGATTGAACTCATCATTTATTATTCAAAACAAAAACAAACAAAAAAAAACAAAACAAAAAAATGAATAAAACATCTACAGTCATGACGTAGAGTCATCCTGTACAGAGGTGGATGAGAGGCGTATAGCATTGCAAGCAGCAGCAGCAGTAGGACAGTGTTTACAGTGGGCTGGAGTGGTTGGCAGTGGAGGCAGCAGAGGAGAGCCGCATGTATGCAAACATGCAAGTGACTTGTAGCGTACTCGGAAAATAAAAAGGTGATGTATGTACAGAGAGGAAAAATGCCTGATAATGACACGTTTCTCAAAATTTTCTAAATCCTGAAGTGTCCATAGGCCAACGTTGATATGCCATCCGCTAGTATGTATCGCTTGCTATCGAACGGTGACAGCGATAGCTTGGTGGTGGTCTCGGTGAAGATGGTATGACGATGGCTCCTCAAGTTGGTCATGGGATGCTGCGTCGCCTTCTTCGTCTGCAAACACTGTCGATAGTCCTGGATCGTAAACTTGCGAGTTACAGTCTTCTTCACACCCTTTGCTCGCCGTCCACTCTCCTCTCCGTCGTAGCAATACATCTTACTGCGCAGTGCTACAAACTCGGTCATGAGCTTTCCGCCGAGTTCGTCCTTAAATTTGCCGACGACTTTTTGTTGGTGTCACTGCGCAGACGGTGATCCGTGGGGAAATTGCTGGTGTCACACAGATCTAGCGTAGCATCCATGTCGGCGTAGAGATCTTCGGTGTTGAACTGCAGCACAAGCGAGTCCGTGTCTGTGTACAGAAGATGCACTCGATCTCCGTAACGGGCTTTGAGCTCCAGGTGGTAGAACCGGTACATGAGCTCCTTGCTAGGTTCCAGGACGCACATGCCCACGTAGACTGGTTTGCACAGCGTGACCTTGGTCTTCTTGTTCTCGACACCTGCCAGTTCGTTCTCGAACAGCACATGACGAACGCACGTCAGCTTGGCAATGGCATTGACGATGCTGTCTTCCTCCTCCTCCTCCTCGTCTCGATACAGTTTGATGTTGTGGCGCCTTCTGACGTTCTCCATTGTTTTCCCAAACACCGCGTTGTTCATTAGTTTATAAAAGTCCTTTTCAAAGTCGTTGTGGGCGGTTCTGCGTCTCTCCGTGTTAAGGGTAATGTAGGGTTTCATCCAGGGCTGTTGAGTGAAGCTCAAGACTCGGTGGACTGTACCAATGGTTAGTCCTAGCTGGCGGTAGAGCTGCAAGTTGCGGTAGTGTAGGACGTATCTATGCTTTGGCATCAGATGCGGTACGAGTTTCGCCACTCCTAAACCGCTGACCGGGGTCTGTTCGAGGAAATCTTGCTGGTAGGGTGAGAGCAAATCCTCCGCGATGCTCACGCACTCTGGAGCCGGGGGATAGTCGTTGAGACGATCGTGGTGACTCGGGGGTACAGGTGAAGTCGTCCATATACTCATACGGATACACACCCTTGCGACGCAAAAGGTCGAACAGCTCCTCATTGCTGCTGCTGCTGTTCATACGAGTTGCATGCCGTGCCACCAGGGATGAGAGGTGTGCAAAGGAATCACGTGGCGTGTTGCTCACCAGCTTCTCCAAAGACGTATTCAGGAAGGCCAGGCTGTCGATGAAGCGAAAGTGTCCCCATGTGAAGGACACGTAGCGCTCCATGTTATTCGGTATCACACCAATCTTTCCCTTCTTGAACGCTCGCGTCCGTCCGGTTCTATCAACATAGCGCTCGGTTTCGATAGCGGTGAGTCCAATGCTAGATATGAGCAGGTGAGCGTCGTAACCCTTGAGATTGTGGAAGATGACCGGGATGATCTGAGTGTCCCGCACAATCCTCATCTTAAGGTTACAGGATGCATGCGCTGCTCCACGATACAGACCCATGATATGATCATGATCACGTACCCTATCATCGCCGAGTGGCCTATGACACGCCCAGCACTCCGAGGCGTTGCGAAACTCTCCCTGCTGTTGTTCGGTGATGATCATGTCACGCTCCACCAGATCGTCTTTGATGCGCTCCTCCTCCTCCTCCTCTGCAAGTGCCTCGAACAACGTGCTTATCGCATCCGGCCCTGAAAGCAACAAACAAGAACAAGTACACACACACACACACAATAGTTGTATAATGCAGGTATACAGGTAATTGCAAAGACAGCACTCATCATCATCATCATCATCATCATCATCATCAGGCTTATGAACATACAACATGCTGTTGATTGATCTAAGTCAGACTAGTCATTCGATGGAGGTGTGATACTACCTCTGTACATGAAGCGGTTCATCAGCCTTCCATCAGTTCTCACTGTGACGTATGACACGCCACACGGAACATGCTCAGCATCTCGAACGGCTCGTGACCATGCTGCGCCGAACATGGCTTCACCAGGCATTCGGTGCCAGCGTAGATGACGTAGGGCATTTTCATCACCTTGACGATGTCCTTGAACATCAATTTTTCGCCCGGCTCGGGCATTTCAACGGCAGCAAACTTTACATCTTTGCAGTACCGTTGGTGTCGTTCGAGCGTCTCGACACTGTTGTGTGAAGGGAGGCAACGCATGCAGAAATGCACTCTTGCCTTCTTCTTCCGCTGATGGGCACACAGCGCACCGAAGTTCTTAATCCACGCAAAGTGGTTGACACCATCGTCGTGGATGACCAGCAGGTTGATGGCATCGTCTGCGCCTGTCAATTTGAGTGGGTAAAGATCATCCTCATATCCAAAGACGTTGATGGACAAGTCATTGGCTTTTTCCACCTGCAGGGTAACAACAACAACAACAAGAACAACAACAACAACAACAACAACAACAACAACAACAACAACAACAACAACAACAACAACAACAACAACAACAACAACAACAACAACAACAAGAACAAGAACAACAACAACAACAACAACAACAACAACAACAACAACAACAACAACAACAACAACAACAACAACAACAACAACAACAACAACAACAACAACAACAACAACAACAACAACAACAGCAAACGTCGTTGCTTGAGACGTCAGATGCGAGCAAGTTGTCATGATTTCAAGACAGCCACTTCACAAAACAACGACATGTGACAAGGACTCGATCAAGTGAACCTTACCTTGTAAACGTCGACGAGAGAAGCCGGAAAATCTACGTCCGTGACATCGAGATTGTTAGCATACGGCATATAGTTGGTCACTCGATCAACGTGATCGGCTGCCGGGTGTAGTGCTCATAGACCAGCCCACTTCGGACATTGATCGTCACGGTTCCTCACTTTGACGACTGCTCTCGATGCGGCTATAGTTTTTGGTAGGGGCAGATAGGATGAGATGCGCATCGGTCGGTAGCGAGCAATGTCCAAGTGGACGCTCTTCACTTGGATTACGACCCAACCGGATCCTTCACGAATCCAGGCTTCCAGCTTCTGAATAATGTGGTCGATGGACGACTTCAGTACGTCCTCCACTTCCAAGGCTTGATGCACAGTCTGCGCTTTACTCCGGAAAAATGGAGAGGTGACGGTGGATCAACCGGTCGCGTCGACCTTCTCCATCTGTACGCAGGCCACCAGCACGGCTTTGTACTGTTGCGTCTGCAGCTCGTGCACCATTGTTTCCGTGATATCCGGAATCAGGTCGTTGAGCACGCTCAACACATCCATGTCGTCTTCATTCAGCTCGGCGCGATACTCTTTCTAGTATCCACGCGGTGCGCTGCGCTGGAGATTCATTCGCGACTCTCTGGGTGCTCTCGGAGAGGGCCCCCCTTCCTCTACGTTCTCAAGTCTCCGCTTCATTTTCTTCGGCAATAACTGATGAGCGGTTTGCTATGACAGGATGCTTTTATACATCACGATCGAAGACGAGGCTAAAGGATAGCTGCCTCAAGAACATGCCAGTTCAGGCTAGAGGGCAACGAAAGAAGGTGATGAGTAATGAACACGCATGATGGCAGGGTGGGTGACTTTTTCCACAACTCTGACAGTGGACTCGTCTACGAAAAGCTAAACGATACCGAGTGGGTTGTTACTGCGTCACTGAAAGGGTCCCCGGGTCCACAAGGTCTGCAAGGAGTACGAGGAGAGCAAGGTCTGCAAGGGCCTGTTGGAGAAGCTGGACAACGTGGACCGCCTGGTGAGAGGAGTGCAGCTCCTACGGTGCGTATCGTGGAGGATACCCTACAGGAAAATCATGCCAACACATCGCTGGTACTTGTGGAGTTTCCCTTTGAAAAATCACTGGATGGAGCTACTATCATACCCGTTGGACTGTACATGCTGGTGGGATACCCCGCAAACGCAGAAGAGCTTGGAGCGAACGAACAGCGCTACTGGATCTCACACAAGGAGATACCTCGCAAGAACAAGTGCACGCTTGCGTTCAGGACTCGCCCCATTTATCATCACCAAGCCGTGCTCATAATGGATGATTCCATCACAGGAGTATACAAAAACTTTCGCATTTACAATTAATATCGTTTCATTTATCAAGAACATTGATTATGTTTCTGATGATGATGATGATGATGCTCATGACGATATTGATCATCAATTACAATGCAAATAAATCAGTGATACAAAAATACAAATTACATAGCACAAAGTAAAATGTTCCCTGATCCGCTGTGTTGCCGGCACTGTCTCACGGGTACTCGGTGTAGCTCGTGCTCGTAGCACGCGATGATCTTGCTGGCAATGGCAGGTTGCATCGTGATTACGGCCTGCTCACATATCA